CCCTGTCCATGGCAGGGGGGTTGGAACTAGATGATCTTTTAAGGTCCCTTCCAACTCAAACCATTCTATGGTTCTATGATATATATGCACAGAAAATAATACATATATTTATAAAGAGAGACCTCCAACCTTGTGGTCCCATCTTGTATTTGAGTCACATAAGTTCTTGAGGCCTAGGACATTTAGAGAACCTGTCTAAAAACCTGGCTCAAGTACATTACAGCAATGATTGTCATTTACACAGAAACTCCCCTTACACTTTTTTAACACTGCATAGTTACAACCTGTTTCACATTACCCTTTTAGGAGAGCAGCACAATATATTTTAAACATGAATAGTTGTAATGTCCGAATAACCTCCTCTTAGTCCAGAGATTAATGTTATTCACTCATTTCAACAAACATTTATTTTCAACTCATGGCCCACTGTCTTAGGCACCTCAGAAGTTCAGGTTGAATGCACCTAGGACTGCTTTGGTTTGTTTCAGTTTCGTTAACAACTGTGGCCACAGCAACAGTTAGCATCACTTGGATGCTTCATACATAGGTATTAGCCAGCAGCACCAAATTACAGGCAAGGCTATGTTTTACAAAGTAAGTCTTCCCTACACTGATTAGCTATATCAGAAGGCCCTCATTTTTTTTCAGAGAAGCAGCCACCCAGTCAATTAAAAGTGCAAGGCTCATTAGGTAAGGAGTTGAAGGGCAAATACCTTAAATGGTAAACAATAGAGGACAGTTGTGCTCTTTAGGAAGAGCCACAGGCTTCTGCAAGACAATGATATATCTTGTCTATGGAGCTTGCACAACTACAGAAAAAGAAAAAACATTTTCTATACCAACAGCTTTTTTTTTTTAAGGTTTAGAGGTAGTTTTTTGCTTGGTAGGTTTTGTGGTGTTTTTTTGGTTTGTTTGGGGTTTTTTTTTGTTGTTGTTTTGTTTGTGGGTTGTGGTTTTGAGGGGTGGTTTGGGCTTTTGGGGGGGTGGGATGGGTGATTTAGGGGGTTTTTTTGAGTGCCTGAGTCACCGAAATACACATTTCTCTTCCATCTAATGCTTATTTGTGCCAACCAATAAGCTAAGACTGTGCTACATTTGATCCTGCAAAGGTACAGAGTTAAAAAGGAGCTCAAACAGTTTAGAAGCCTGGTTCCTGCAAGGCCAGTAGAAGATAAGCAAAGAGGAACAGTAACACAAATGTCAGTTCTTTTAAGTTGCAGCTTACAAACTTCCCACTCACGTGTTATCATGAGAATGTGTTCTTTTCACTGTTACCATGCCCTCCCGCTGGAGGAGGAGAACACACTTATCTGTGGTGTCCTTTGTGAAAACAATTTATTCCTCCACAACCTCAGCACTCTAAGGGCAACGTACAATTGTGATTAAAACCCATTGCCAAGGCCACTGCTGATAAATCCAAATGAAATACAGAATATCAAAAGAAAGGAAAGGGGGAGATGGAAGGTAGGTAAAGAAAGCACCACCAAAAATCAGGAACATTTCTTCAAAGCAGGGCAAAACAAAGTAGTCTCTACTTCAAGCCTCGTTGGCATTTTTACTGGCAGCTAACAAAGCACACATCACTTGTCATTGACAAGTTCTTGGGTTCATCATTTGCTTTAAAGTTCCATATTCTATATGTAAGTACCTACTTTAGAGTTTTTAGCTTCTTTTGTCAAGACAGCCAAAAAACAGCAAATACAGACAACCCCACCACTCCTGCCACAGCTCAACAGATGACATGTAATTCTCAAAGACTAGGAGTGCTAGCCATAGCGAGGATCACGCATCCAAGGGCTCTTCTCCTCTTGGTGAGCTGAGGAAGCATTGCAGGACAGGAAAAAAAGGCACATCATCTCTTACAGAAGCAGACCCCAAAGGAGAAAATTGCTATTCCAACAGTTCTTCTTTATCTCCCCATCTTTTCCTGTCTCTGGCCTCCTTTTGCCTGTTCTGTCCCCCCTTTTGCCTCTGAGCAGGAAGAAGGCACACAGTAGCATGGGAAGAATGCTCCCAACACTTGTCTTAACCCATCACATACAACTGCAGTGTCTGTTAGTGACTCTCAGACATCAGTCACACAGAAGGAAAAAGTCCCAGTTTTAAACTCTGGCACACTAAAGAGCTTTAACAGGTATCAGGATAGTCTGTCGCTTTCTTCAGATTTTTTATACTGAGAAACTGAATCAACAGCTTCAGACATGGAAGCACAGTTTACTACAGTGGAGAGCAAGCAGACGTCTTTCCCAACAGGACAGCCTGAAGCAGCTTTCCTCTGTATACATACTGCCAGCACTCTCCATACCTGGGTGGTCAATGGCTTTTTAAAAGTGCAGTTTCTCTGATTGCTTATCTATGACACCAAAATTTGGACTGACTGATCCACCAAGAGAACTCACATACCTGTAGCAACTAAACCCAGGGATGATATGCCAGGCCACTGGAGAGCTCAGTTCTGTGCTACTTCTGTGCCATGCAGCCTCAGGGCAGTTATCACCCCCCCTGTTAGCCCCTCCGCTGAATATTTGTTTTCTAGGCTCTCCAGGGCTGGGCAGTGCTGTGCCTGTGCACATGTCTTTCTGCAGGGTGTATTTGTGCTCACCACAATGGGTCCTCCATCTCTGCCAGATTCTTCCATGTGGGAGCTACTTAACAGGAGAGCAAATATTTTATGCAAAGAAATACTATAGGTCATGGAAATATTTCCATCTCAAATTGCTTAAGTGCACTTGATCTATTTATTTCTGGAGGGTGGGCTTGTCAGAAAGCAAATCAGTAGCAGTAGGACAAGTAGGTGGCTATCCAGAAATAATTACAACAAAGGTCACATCATAGTATTTCTTTAATTTGTGTAAAGCACACAAACAGACATGGAAAGGTATATAGCAAAATCAGAAGACACAATATAATTTTAAAATATGATATATTCTTCTACAACATTGTACTTGTCTGTGACTAATTTATCCCAGCATCACACACCCAGGCATCAGGGATGCGCTGCCCTGGATGTTGTTCTGCTGTTCATCTGTGGGACCCTGGAAAACTTTCTACATTGCCATCCCTGGTCTTGTGACGTGGAGGGGAAAGTCAGCGACTGCCTCTCTCTCCAGCATCCAACACTTCCTCTCCAACTTGCAATTCAGAAAATATATTTTGGTGAACTGCTTAATGTCTTCTAACGTCAGGAGATATATCTCCACAACAACACAGTGACTGTGCCTCACATGAAAACTGCTAGTCCAAGTCATTGATAGAGGCTAGAACAACAGAGGTATTTTATGAGTTAAGAAGTTGCCATTTAAGTTTTCAGGGTAAGTCAAAGATTTTTATTTTTTTTAAATGGTGTTTTAATGAACCTAAGTAATTTTATTGCCAATTCTTATCACTCAAAGTGAATTTTATTAGTATATTGTAAATCTTCCTATTTATAGAATTATATCCTTATTTAATACAAAATACTATCTCTTTATGGTTTCCCCTGCTGTGTCATATACAAAATATCTTACAGGAACAGAAGTATGTCAAATGTAGTATAAAAAATAGCCCATTTTCTGGTGGAGAGAAGTCATGGGAAATTGAGATAAAATAAATATCATTTAACAAACATTTCTGTTTCCCACAGATCCACTTTCTATTACTATTTGGCAATATTTTTTCTGTTGCTCTTCCTTGAAAGACTCTTTGACCTTTTTCCTTTTCAATCCCCCATCCCTGAAAGATACAGAAAAGAAACAGCCTTGAGCTCACTTCAGGGTTAAGGCAGAAAAACATTACAATATTTAGACCACAGAGTCAAAGCAGTTTTGACCCTAAATGTTGGCTTTTGCAATACAACACTAAATGATCTGTACTGTCAAGACATACCACACAACACAAACAATGCCTTTCCTTTAATCCAGCAGTTAACAGACAAATAATTTATTTTCACCAAATACTACCTGCCAGCTAGATCCACCTGTCAGCTCCATTTCTCTTTTTATACTATAGCAGCTTATTTATTCTAGTGGAACTGTTGTAGGAATAAAGTAACATTTTCTGACTCAGAGTCAGCAAGGGTGATGTACTACAGTCCAAGCAAAGCAAATCTGGAAGAAGTTTTAAAAGATTCCAGGCTAACATTTCAGAATACAGAATACCTAAATATGCTTTAAACCCAACCTCGAAGGTGTTACTTCTTACCAAGGCAGCACAGACATTCCTCCTTGAGCAGCAATGACAGCCTTGACTCTGCTGGCAAAGTGAACAGCATCTTCTTCTTCCTAGAAAAAATAAAAATAAAATTAATTATTTACTTTGCAACTTAAACATTTTCTTCCATGTCTTACTTAAAGAGATACTTTTTGTCAGGCAGCAGGCACTTGGGTTTATGCCAAGCCAGATGTGACCTGCAGGGCAGTTCCAGTTGGTCCTGGGGAAACGCCTCCTGGTTTGCCACCATTCCATGCCGAAAAGAACAAAGTGGGAGGCTCTGTGGTTTCTGGGGTAATCTCAAACAACACACAGCATGAGGTCACAGGTTTGGCCAGAGTAGCGGATGCACCTGCTCCCAGTACTTCAGTATCAGTATGAAGGTGGGAACACACTGATGGGATCACCTTGGAGGAGACAGGGTGCCTTGAATAGGGTTGGGGTCTGGTGCATCCAGGGTCAGTGAATTACTGAGTTCACAGGAGTCTGTTTGCCCAAACGGCAGAGGACTGAAGATACATGCACCACAGCAGCTTCCCTGCCAAGACTAGGGCTGAGCAGAGACTGGTGTAGGCCGTACCAAACAGGGGCATGGCTGGAGCAAAGGCCTTGGCCACTTCATCGCATCAGGTTGGTATCCAGGGGCAGCGGGCTGAGCAGCTGTGCCAAGTTGTGGGGTAAAGCCAATGGGCAAAGGATTAGCTGGGTATTCTGCAGGGCTGAGAAACAAGGAAGTGGGAAGAAGCTGTGCAGGTGAAGGTAGAGGGGGGACACAAAAGGCAGAAGCACCCCAGTATGGAATGAAGAGAAGGCTTGAATCTATATATCACTTCTGGACTAAAAAAGGGAGGTCTGTGCCAAGGAGCAGCATAAAACCACATTTTAACATCTTTTCTAGTCTCTGGGAGCAGAGGAAAGCAAGGCAGCAGCACCCAAGTAAAGAAGCTGTTTGTGAGCAATAGGGAGCATGATGCAGAAATGTCTGAATCTCTGCAAGAGTAATTTTTGCTTGGAGATAACCCACATAAATCTATGTTCACTTTTAAGACAACAGTGTTGCTTTCTGGCCTTTGTCCATTAAATGGTCAATAAAGATTCGCAAACATAATGCCAATAGATCGTGGGTAATAGTGCAGACTTTCTCCCAGACAAAATTTTATGAGCATTTTCAAAACATACAAAAGCATAAGTACCTCTTTGACCATTGGTGGCAGGTACCACACATTACAGACAATAGCCCAGCTAGTCATTATATTAAAAACATAGGTCATCATGGAATACTTTGTGCTGTTCCAGAACGCATCTCCAAAGCGGGGGTCATACTGGAAGACAAGAAGAGTAAGTGAAAGGGCATGATCTTCTACCTTAGTTTAAATCACATAAGCTGCTATTTTTGGCCATGAAGTCACAGTTCAACTTGTTAAATCAGCGGCAAATCTAATCACACCTCTAAAAGGCAGCAGTAAATTCAGAGTAAAGCTCCACATTTCAACATTTAAGTTTATAACAGTTAAACTCTAGAAGCAATGCAGGACCTCAAACTGTGACAGATCCATTGAAATACATCTCAACTATAACCAGATAGATCTACTCAAAATGTAGAGACCTTGTCATCTACAGATACACTGACTACAAACGTTTCCTTGAAAACGGTCACACCAGTTTTAACAATTTCCATAAGATTAGGCAACATTATAGTTCCAGAAAAAAGTAACTAAAATATCTAGAGCTAGGGTGACTTGGCTAAAACTACTCAGAGAGCCTTGAAAGTGCCAAGAAAATGCCTTTATCCCCAGAGCACATAAGAACCAGGAACCATAGAACAGAAAGAGCAGGCAGAACTAAACACGCAGCATAGCAATTGCAACTGTGCTTTGCAGGTTGCTCCTAACCAGCTGTAAAGACACTCAGTGGAAGATTTCCCATGCTGCACTGAACTGCAAGATATTGCATACCATGAAAAGATTCCATTTTCTCAGGGCTTATTCAACACTGCATTCACCCAAACCCCCTTTTAAGGTTTACACATTAACAGCTTCTCTGATATGAGAAGCTTCTGCAAATAATCCTTCCGTGTTTGGAAAACTGCAGATACATTACCTTGATTGCTACTGGATGGATGGTCCCTCCTACCTCAAAGCTTCCCTTCTTAAACATCATTACTGATGTATTGTTTATGCAGGTACCTGGCCAGAATTAAAACAGATGAAGAGTTTAATCCACTCTAAGAAAAGTATCAGCAAATGAATCCTAAACTGTCTTAAGGAGACTTAAGTTGCTAAAGGAGAAAGTAAGCTTTAGTTCTGAAGCATAATCCCAGCGCCTGTTATCTCTTCCATTATGCTACACACTAAAGCAAACAGATTGTCTTAAAACTGTTATAAAATATTAGAATCTGACTTTTAGTATCTCTCAAAAGCTAATTAATTCTACAGACTAAACAAACACCTCACGTGTAAAGACTGGGTATAATAAACTGCGCTTAGTGGCAAGAAGCGAGAAGAGCAATAAAATCAATACAGTTGTTTCCTACCTTCCGGGAAAATTAAAATGGGTAATTTGGTCTTATCTGCAATGTGTTCTCTAATTCTGTGGAGAGAAAATAAAATATATTTCATTTTCACAGAAGACTCACATTTGTATTTGGCCTAGAATCTAAACATCTGTTGCCTCTCACATAGGAAAAGCCCTTGCCCAATTGCCTGTTGCCGGTCAGTAGCCTCCGCCAGTATGTGTGCTAGTTTTAGGCCTTTATCTCAGAGGTTCTCTCTTGCTAATTGCAAAAGAAGGTTTTCTACAAAACTGTATGCAATTTTATTTCATCATTTTAACCTAATTAACATGAAGCCAGAGAATGGTGGTACTTGAAGCATGTAAAAATCACTTCCCATTTATTATTGACAGGTTCCAGCTATGAACACAGCCAAACTTTTCTTTTGACTTAAGTATATTCTATATTTCAAGTTTTCATGCCTTCTAGGTTCATAACATCAGTTTTATATTATCTAATGATTCCCTGCATTAGAAATTATGGCATTTGCTGCATCACTTGGAAACAAATGTATTACCACTAAGCAGATTACTGACACACAAAATCTTCCCTGCATCTAGTTAAAAGATAGGTCACTATTTTATGGCATTTGCTGCATCACTTGGAAACAAATGTATTACCACTAAGCAGATTACTGACACACAAAATCTGTTGTTTTCTGAGATACCTGTCTTTCCTATGACTCAAGAGCATGCAGTTCCTCTCCAGTCTGCATTAGAGTACAAAAACCATCAGATATCAAAAAAAGGAAAGAATGATCCAGCACAGGGGGATCTTCTCCGTTTTTCTAAGGACGAATGGTCATAGACGCTTACTTAATGCTATCTGTGTTACACTCTATTTCATGAAACTTAGGATGACTAAGAACAGTCTCTGTAAACATCTGAGAATGTAAGAACTGCCATACTGAGTCAATCCTGTTCGTGTCCTTAAAGTTCAATGTGCTGTCTCTGCCTGGAATCAATACTTGCAGGCTTCTGGAAAGCAATATAGGCATTAAGCAAACATACATTTCTTAGCTGCCTCCCAAGAGGAGAGCCAGAAGGCTAACCATCTCAAGGGTGTGTATGGCTATGGTGGACCCTCTTGCACCCCCTCCAGGGAATGCTCGATTACGTCTCTGAAATGCCTTTACACCAACACACACAGCATGGGGAATAAATAGGAAGAACTAGACATCTGCGTGTGGTCAGAGGGCCAGCATCTCAGTGCAGTTATAGAGACACAGTGGGATAGCCTGTATGACTGGAATGTTGTCATGGATGGCTATGTACTTTTTAGGAAAGACAGACCAGAAAGGCGAGGTGGTGGAGTTGCTCTTTACGTGAGAGAGCAACTGGAATGTATCGAGCTCTGCCTAAGAGTGGATGAAAAATGAGTTGAGAGCTTATGGGTTAGAGTTAAGGGTCAGGCTAATATGGGTGACACTGTTGTGGGTGTTTACTACAGGCCACCTGATCAGGATGAGGAAGTTGATGAGGCCTTCTACAGACAGCTGGAAGTAGCCTCACAATCACAGGCCCTGGTTCTCATGGGGGACTTCAATCACCCTGATATTTACTGGAAAGGCAACACAGCTAGGCATGCACAGTCCAGGAGGTTCCTGCAGAGCATTGATAACTTTTTGGCACAGGTTGTGGAGGAGCCCATGAGGAGAGGTATGCTGCTAGATCTTGTACAGGTTAGAGGTTGACCTGCTGGGAAGCAGCTCTGTGGAGAAGGACCTGGGAGTCCTGGTGGACAACAAGCTCTCCA